CAAAAGAGAGAAAAGTTAAACGTAATGTAACCGTAACCAGAGTAAAAGAATGCAATTCAGAAGATCCAGAAGAAAGAATAAAACAAGATAAAGAAAGCATTGAACCTCTGATAGCAACCCTAAGAATCAAAAAAAAAACCGTCAAAGTGTACGTATAATAATACAGTAACACTATCTAACAACGCCCAAAATCTCAGCCGGCCAAACCACGTGCAACTTTGTTTAACTTTTTCTAATATCAACCTGATTGCAGCAACATAAACAAATACCGCCACAAACTAGATTTGCCACACGACGCCGCATACTCGTTGCCAATTAACAACTTAATAGTAGCAACAAACAATGACCTAAATCATCAAATTAATGATAAGCATATAAAATGTATATACACTAATGCAACATCGCTAAACGAAAATAAACTTAACGAACTCACAGCATATGTCTTGGTTTACTGCCCGAACATAATTTTGTAAGTGAAACATGATTCACGTGTCTTGTAAAGTGTATCATGGAGGAATCGCGATTTATATTATTAAGGACCTATAGGTACTAATATAAATTGTGAGTTTACTAATATAATATATCATAGGTTTATATTAGCGAGTTGCTAATATAAATCTATAAAAAACCTTCTCCATCTATACAGAAAGCATACTTTCTATTGAAAGTGATTAAAAAGAACTAATAGACAAAAATTGCGTGCAAAATTGGTATTCCATAAGCATAAACAATAAAAACCGCCGTCTACCTCAAGATACACAAATGACCTGTTAACTGAAACTACAATTAGAAAAAGCACCAACAAGGCAAAACTGTTAAAGATTGCTTCAAAAAACTTTGGGAATGACCCATTTGTTACAGAATAAGGGAGCAAAGGGAGTCTATTTTGCAAAAGCTGTTTGGATAGAGGGCATTCTAAACGCTCATATATGCACAGAAGTGCATCAGGCCGATGATATTTTAAACAATATTTTTGTTTGTATATAATTTATTATTGTAGCACTTTCTATTTTTTTTTTAATTATTCACCTCCCAAGGCCGAGAAGGCCACTACAGTCAAGGAGGCTACTTTTTTGTGGTTACAACCCCTCTCAACTCTATAACACTGAAACAAGAGCCTTGACGAACAAGGCCGCTGCGCGGAGAAACAAGTTGAGCGCGTTACTACCAGGAACATAGTGGGGATCGACATATGTATTTGTTAATGTTCCAAAACCAAGTTCTTAGACTTTAACCTCACGATGGCAATTTTAAAACTCGTTTTTTTCAAAAACTGCTAATGGGGCCAACTTAAGCATTGCAGAAAATGAAAGCTTTTATTTAGTAATTAAGAAATTATATAAGGTTTAGTATGACGCCATTAGCGGTTTTTGAGGTAATCACTGAAATGTTCAAAAACTATAGCAAAATCATGTGAAAAAATTCACAGTTTTTATATCACTTTTATGAAAATTATCCAATTTTAATTGTGAAGTACTATTACTATTAACCAGAAAAATGTATTTTTTTGTAGGCTCTTCATTTCTTAATGTTAAATAATAATTTTTTTTTCCATTACTTTTTCGAGTATACTCAAAAACTTTGTTGGGTTTTAAAGATTTTTTTTTCTTCCAAATTGTTTAACTCTGCTGTTGTGGATTACGTCCTCCAAGATAAGTAGCAAAAATTAGCAGTTGTATCTTAATATAAACATTAATATATTTGTAATGATGCGGTCATCTTAAAGATACTGGAAAATTACGCCAACGTAATTTTAAAGTTAATAATATAATATTTTGTGGTTTTGAATTTTATATAAAAAATGGATGATATTTGTAAATAATAGATTCGCAGTCATATGTAAATAAAACAACTATAAAAAAACCTTTTGCACCTCCTAACATCGAGTGCAATCCTGTCCGCTTTTTCTATGCTTTCTTTCTAACACGACTACTTCTGTCTTTCACTCTAACATATCTTCGTTCTTCCTAAACTCACTTTACTCTTGGTCCGTAGAGCGGGTTATGACGCTCCTTGGGGAGCCGAACCTGTCTTTGCGGGCCTTGGTAATGTGGCCCGGAGGAGGAGGAGGATAAACCACAATACCAATACCAATAACTATAAAAAAACCTTTTGCACCTCCTAACATCGAGTGCAATCCTGTCCGCTTTTTCTATGCTGTCTTTCTAACACGACTACTTCTGTCTTTCACTCTAACATTTTTTCGTTCTTCCTAAACTCACTTTACTCTCGGTCCGTAGAGCGGGTTATGACGCTCCTTGGGGAGCCGAACCTGTCTTTGCGGTACCTTGGTAATGTGGCCTCTATATGGCAAGTAGCCGGAGGAGGATAAACCACAATACTAAACAACTATAAACAAACCTATTGCACCTCCTAACATTGAGTGCGATCCTGTCCGCTTTCTCTATGCTGTCTTTCTAACACGACTACTTCTGTCTTTCACTCTAACATATCTTCGTTCTTCCTAAACTCACTTTACTCTTGGTCCGTAGAGCGGACCAAGAGTAAAGCGGACCAAATAATCGAAATGGATCAAGAGCGAAATTATCAGAGGGAGATCAGCATGTTGAATATAAACATTAAATGTATAGAACGCAACACCGCAAACTGCAACAAATCGAGCATAATCTTGGCTTTAGACAAAATAACAAATTTGTTGGCAAGATATGAAATGGCAAAAGATGAGCTGACCAGAAAAATGCTGGATGACGGCGAAAGCATTGATACGGTTGAAGAATGGCTTTCAAAACCAATAGCGGAAGTTGAAGCAGCGATTGCAATTAAAAACAAAATGGTAAACAAGTTGGATTTAATAAATAAAAACGAATGCGTCAAGAGATTCGAGTATGGCTACGGTGGATACGGAGGAGGATTATACAACAAAGGGTACGGAGGATACGAAGGTGGATTTTACAAAACAAAGGGTACGGATATGGAAACAACTACTACAGTAACGAATCAAAATACAAGGTTATTAATCCAAAAACAGTAGTTGCCTTAGAAGATACTTATGTCGACGATCTGCAAGCGGGTGGAGAAATGGAAGAAGAACTTATCAGATTTGAATATGAATCAACACAAATCTTGAACGAAGCTGGTTTTCAGTTGCACAAATGGCATAGCAACGTGAGAGAATTGGAAAATAATGTTGAAGACAAATCAACAAAAATACTTGGACATCCTTGGAACAAGGAAACAGATCAATTGTCAATTGAATTCACTACTTGCATCAATAACGGAAATAAAGAAAATTTAACAAAAAGAAAAATTCTATCTGCAATCAACAGTGTTTTTGACGTATTAGGATTTAGTGCACCTGTGTTAATCACTGGAAAAATGCTGTATAGTAGACTATGCTTATCAAAAATTGGATGGGATCATCAACTACCAAAGAAACTTTTGGAAGAAAAGTTCTTTTGGTAGTTGATGATCCCATCCAATTTAATCCAAAAAAAACTTGGATTAAACAACAAAAGAACTATATTGATTCCTCGGTGTGTTGTGTCCGGAAGAATTGTTGAACTAGAGCTCCACAGATTCTCAGATGCAAGTAAATTAGCGGTATGTGCATGCGTCTATGTTGTAACGAGCCACCAAAATTCGAAAACGAGCAACTTACTTGTAGCAAAAGCACGGATTGCACCAAAGGATCTAAGTATTCCAAGACTCGAGCTAGTAGCTGCACATACCTTAAGCAAGTTGATGAACCATGTCAGGAAAACATTAGTCAATTATAACATTAGTAAAGTTTTTAATTGGGTTGACAGCACTGCTGTACTTTATTGGCTGAAGGAAAGAGGCAGTTGGTCACAATTTGTAAGAAACCGAGTTCAGCAAATCTTATTAAATGGAGAAGTAAAATGGCTTTATGTCCCAACAAAAGAAAACCCTAGCGATCTTGGAACAAGAGGAGTGAGTCCGGAAAAGTTGTCAAACTTGTGGTTCAATGGTCCAATATGGTTGAATTATAGAGAAAATTGGCCAAACCAATCGGAAATATTTGATAACTCATATGGGACATTATGTGAAAGTATTGCTCTAAAGGAGAACGTCTGGATGGTAAGAGAAGAAATAAAGGAAAATCGCACTTTTGAAGAATTGTGGAATAAATATAATTATTGGAAGATTTTAAGGATATCGTCGTTTATAAATAGGTTCATTTACAATTGTCGCAATAAAGAAAAAATAGTTGGACCAATAAAAACGGAAGAGATGGTAGAAGCCGAAACGGTCAATATTAAACATCGAGACACGGTCAATATTAAACAACGAGAATTTGTTGTGCTAAAAGCCGATGTGGAACTTAAACAGGATGAAAAGAATCTTTAGAGGTGTCATGGAAGAGTTACTGGATATAGTCTAATGAGGGTTCTTGAATGAGGGTACAATGAGGGTACCAAAAGGGTTCTTACTAACTCTACGTATTATTGAGCACCATCACACCAAAACCTTACACGGAGGAGTCGGAGATACCATGGGTAGCATAAGAGAAAGATTCTGGATACCGAATTTGAGAGTGGCCGTTAAAAAAGTTATTCGTAGTTGCAATTTGTGTAAAAGGTACAGAGTGAAGTCTCTGTTACCACCAGCAAAAGCAATGTTACCGCATTTTAGAACTGACAATGTTGAACCATTTGCAGTTAGTGGTGTTGATTTTGCCGGACCGTTAAAGTATAAAGTACCAAAAAATTCGATTAAAATATGCTACGTTGCACTTTTTACATGCGCATGTACTAGAGCCGTCTATCTTAAACTTTGTCATGACCTATCAGCAGTAGAATTTCAGAGGGTTTTAAAAGAATTTGTTGCGAGGAAAAGGACCAACTCAGATGATAATCAGTGACAATGCGAAAACATTTGTGGCAACAGGGAAGTGGTTACTTATACTTAAAAACGACGAGAATATTGCCTACTATCTTGCTATACAAGCTATAAAATGGAGGTTTAATCTATCAAGAGCCCCTTGGTGGGGAGGTTTGTTTAAAAGATTGATTGGAATAATGAAGAAAAGCTTATCTAAAACTATCGGTAAAGAGATGCTTACTTTCAATGAATTAGAGGAAGTATTGTTGGATGTTGAGTGCTCAATGAACAATAGACCACTTTGTTACCAAGGTGACCAGTTCGACAATCAAGTACTGACACCAAACGTATTAATGAGGGGAAAACCTGCAACATTGCTTGAAGAAAATATTGCTTTAATTGCAAAAGAGGAATATGCAATACGGAGAGCCAAGTTTATAAAAAACTGTAAAACCCATCTGAGAAAAAAATGGATGAACGAATATGTACATGCAATGGAAGAACGACAGCAAGTAAGGAATAAGGGAAGTAACATAAAACTGCTAGTTGTTGGAAGCGTGGTACTTATTAAAGAGGATTTAAAAAACAAAGCACTTCTAAATATTGGGCGAGTTGAAAGCGAAATCAAAGGAAAAGATGGAGCTACGCGTAGCTTAAAAATACGATTGGAGAACGGTTATGTTATTGAACGACCAATTCAACTGGTGTGTGACCTGGAAATCGATTTTAAGGCAGAGAGTATGATTGAATCTAAAAAGAACGTGGAAATTGGTAAAAAAGTGGAAACCCTAAAAAGAGTACCGAGACGGGCAAAATTAGATGCAAGACAAAAAATCAGTTGCATCATGGAAGACGAGATGGCTGATTAAAGCCGAAGTCTCAGCTTTAATCGGGGGAGTGTGTTGTGGATTACGTCTTCCAAGATAAGTAACAAAAATTAGCGGTTGTATCTTAATATAAACATTAATATATTTGTAATGATGCGGTCTTCTTTAAGATACTGGAAAATTACGCCAACGTTATTTTAAAGTTAATAATATAATATTTTGTGGTTTTGAATTTTATATAAAAAATGGATGATATTTGTAAATAATAGATTCGCAGTCATATGTAAATAAAACAACTATAAAAAAACCTTTTGCACCTTCTAACATCGAGTGCAATCCTGTCCGCTTTTTCTATGCTGTCTTTCTAACAAGACTACTTCTGTCTTTCACTCTAACATATCTTCGTTCTTCCTAAACTCACTTTACTCTTGGTCCGTAGAACGGGTTATGACGTTCCTTGGGGAGCCGAGCCTGTCTTTGCGGTACCTTGGTAATGTGGCCTCTATATGGCAACTAGCCGGAGGAGGATAAACCACAATACCAAACAACTATAAACAAACAAGTGAATTTATTAGTGTCACTGGGAAACGCTTAATAATTCCCCACACTGAATTGCTCTAACTTTTTAAACAGACAAAAACTTTAACTCTTTACTTTTAACTTAAATCTGCATGCCATCTAAGTATAAAAAAATTAAGTTAAATTTTAATTTCAAAACATTAAATTTTTTAGCCATGTCCATCATTTAAACCACTGTGCAATAGGGTCACGTTTTGAAATTTTTTACTTTTCACTTTTTCTTAATTTATATATATATATTATTATAAAACCATTAGCATACTTTTTATTTAAACTCAATTTGCATAAACAATTAAATGTATTTTTTAAAGTTTGAGAAATTAAAGCCCTTCTCTTCATTAAACTATTAAATGTATTTTTTAAAGTTTTAGAAATTAAAGCCCTTCTCTTCATTACACAAAACATTACATCAACAAAAATAAAATGTAAGTAATACTAGCCATTTACTAATAGACATTTATTAAATTATTAAGACTATTTGTCGCTGTTACTCCTTATTTTTCAAAATGATTTGATTTGTGTAAATTTAATAATTAATATACCGCCACTTGACCATTAGAAGTGCCAAGAAACCTAAGAAGAAAAAAAAGTAAGCAAAGATACCATAAAGAGCACAGACTAACATTGCATAAAATAGAACTTTAATGTAACTGTAAAAGGTTTTCAAATTTTTACTATAAATCTAGAGTTAATTACGAATAAGAGTTGTTCATGTTTGCTTCTCTGCATTCATTTAAATCTTTGGCATAAAGATGCTAATCTTGAAAAAGTCTTTTAACTAGATAAAATAATAAAGAAACGAAAATAAATTAGTATTTTAATTAGAGGCAAGTTATATATTTTCATTTAATATATTGATGAGCATAAAATATTAATTTTTAATGTAATTTTAGGTAATTATTAACTATATATTTAAAAATTAACTCAAAACTTAAGTATGTTCATGCCTATGCCGAATGAAGAGCCTTGCGAAAAATCAGAAAAATAGAGGCCAGGGAACAAAAATACACAAAAAATTTCACCCCTACCCCCCTCCCCAAACGAGAGGAAAGTTATGCAGTAAATTTTTCAATTTTGTTATCTTACACTAAATTTAAATTAATTGACTGGTTTTAAATTTTATATGTTGTAAAACACAAAAGCTATGACCATGCAAAATTTCCGCGTTTCAAGTAAATTTGTTATACGACTTTTATTATTTACAAATTTTTTATGGCGAAGGCAAAAACAATCAAGGTCAAGGCCAAAATTTTCAAGGCCAAGACCAAGGAAAAGGCCTAAATAATTTGGCCAGGGCCAAGGCCAAGGACTAACAACAATGGTTTGTGGTATACTAAGTGATTCTTTCTTATTAAAAACAGAAACAAACTATTCTTTTAAAATATTTGCCATTTTAATAGTACCATTTGTGATACCATTTTCATCATGCGTTAACTTTTCATTTATATATAGCGCTTTTATAAAATCTTTTGCTTTGGCTTTACTGTTGAGATTCGTGTAAACTGATTTTGGGTTGCATTTCGAATTTGCTGCTAACCCATCAAACATGGTTCCATTTCAGAAAGTTTCTTTCATATTTTATTATACTTACTTTAACGATAAGTTTTATTTTTATTATTTTATGTTTTTTACTTCTAGTAAAATTCTAAATTTGTTATTTTTACATTTGATCCATATTATTCTCTTTCGTTTACAAATACTTTTAATATTTCTATTCATCCATAATGGGTCTTAAATATTTTAATGGATTTTTAGTTTTTGGTATGAGTTTATTACGAGCATTGCGATAGATTGATAACCATTTAAAAATATTTTATCCCATTCGATTTTAGAAAGTTATTAATTTATAAAAATTTCTTTATTAAAAAGGAATTTTTCTTTCATTTTCATATTGTATTTCCAAGAATTGAAACTAATTAAATAACGGCTTTGTTCTATATTTCGTTATAGTAATGGTTGATATTAAAAATTCTGTTGTCATTTTCGGTTAACATTAAATCTAAAACATTGCTATCAATTCCTGCTTTTATTTGAAAAGTTAGTTTTTTCTAAACTATATTTATATTTGTTGATAAATATTAAATTTATACAATAATGTCTTAGCGTTTAAAAATAATGGCTATATAAAGTTTGAACCCCCTCATTTTGAGGGGGTTTCAAGTAAATTGCCGATAACTTAAAACTCACTTTAAGTAGACTGTACATTAAAGATAAAAATAATCTGATGCAATAAGCCTCATTTTTGGCTTCGGTTTCCTACGGTTGTTTTATTTTTGGCTTCGGTTTCCTACGGTTGTTTTATTTTTGGCTTCGGTTTCCTACGGTTGTTTTATTTTTGGCTTCGGTTTCCTACGGTTGTTTTATTGATTACACAGTTTTTTTTTCGCACTTAATGTTAGTTGGCACGTTAAACGCTTTTTACTCTAAGATTCTGACAAAGCGACCTTTATTGAAATACTTTGGTAGCTGTTTATCTTTGCGAAAATAAATTTTGTATTTTTTGAACACGGCATTTTAGTTAATTAATACTTCGCACACCAGAGAAAACCTGTAATAAAAATAAATATTAAAAATAGAATCATTAAAAAATTTTCGTATTTATATAAAAAATGTAACTAAAACCTTATAGAACTACTTTGATAAAAACATTAGACAAATAATTAAAAAACAAAGAAATACATTTTGATAAATAAATGTATAAACTGATGGTAGTCCACAATTAATCCTAAACATAAGATTAAGAATTTTTATCATTTTCATCATTTGTAGATTTTTTTATCTGCGGGATACTAGAGATTAGCCTGGGGTTCCTCTACAATTTTATGTTATATTAACGTCAATTTCCTGCTTTTAAAAGTTTATACGGGTGTCTATGGAACTAACACTCCGAAACAGTCTCATTGTTTATTAATTCAACACGATCTCACAATGTTTATTAAATATACTTGACAAATTCTTTTATTTTATTATTTACAATTGTTGATTTACCTTAAATTTGCAAAAGAAAGTGGATACATAAAAAATTATAATTTTTTACAATAAAAGTTTTAGATTTTAATTAGTTTTTCATAATGAACTTTAAAACATTAATCAACGTTTTTTTTTTTGATAAGTTTTTGTAGATTTTTTCTTACATAAATTGTACTGCGTAGTTTTTTTTACGAAAAAAACTTTTTTTTTTTAATTAAATTTACAAATCTTAACAGATTTGTTGTTCATGTTACCAAAGAATTTTATAAAGTTAACAAAGGGATCTCGCCTAAAGTTAAATTTTTATTGAGATTTTAACATATTAATTAGGATTTAGCTCTGTAAAATTAGAAAAGGTGTGGTCATACTTAATGTATTTGCTATTGTGGATTTATACTTAATGTATTTACAAGTAAATTTATCGCAATCAACCATATTATGTAGCATCAAACCTTGATCCTCAAATGGATTAGGATTGGTTGCA